ATAACGGCATCATTTACAGTGGCCTGAAACTTGTTGGGAGGGGGAGGAGGTTCAACCTTTTTGGGGGCAGCTGCTGGGGCAGCTGCGGCATCCAATTTGGGAGGAGGAGCCGGAGGAAGAATTTCTCCCTGAAATAAAGTTTGTACCAAACGGAAATTAAAGCTGAATATTCAATATTCACATGTATCTATTTTCAAAAATACACTCATATCTACTACTACATGTACTTTCTTTATGTACAGGAACAACATCAGTTTGTTTCCCTTAAAAAATCCATCCAAGATCCACTTACATTCTGTACAACAATGGATCCTCTCACAACCTCATCTTCTAAGTTGATGTAAAATTGATCTTTCTCTCCTGGAAATCAAAATAAAAATTAAACTAAACACTTCGAGAAAGCATTTCCGTTGAGATACTCCTGCTGTTGTGTGAAATTGAATGGCAGATTGTGACTGAATTTACACCTTCCCTGGCTTATCTTACGGGATAGCAATTTATTTCCTTTTTAAAGCTTTGTAAAGCTGGTTTCTATATTTTTGGGGATTCTCTGTGAATAATTAGGTTCTATTTTGTTTGGACTTACCCATGGACAGGAGGAGTTTGGATATATTGTTGGAATAAAGGGTACTGGATTGAGTGGGAAGTCGACTAGGTAAATCTGTGTAGCCAATGTGTGTCACTTCGTTGTATTTGTACAATTCTCCAGGCCTTGTGGTCTCAAAATTTCCCCCCGCTTCTGCTGCTAGATCCACTATCACAGAACCAGGCTTCATTCTATCCACCACGGCCTTTTAAAATCAAGAATTTCAAAAATGATTTCATGGAGAGAGTTTGTGAAACTATAATGAATATTTCAGATAACCTTACAAAGTAATAACACATCCACTAAATATTAATTTTTTTGTTTAAAAGAATATATCAAGATTTTTTCACACAATAAATTGCAGTTCATATGACAGGTACCTTCCACACTTTACTAGTTCAAGACTGAATTTTAATTCACCTTTGACACCAGTTTTGGAGCAGGTTTGCCGGGTACAAGGGCCGTTGTGATGACAACGTCACATTCCTCACACTGTTTGGCGTACAGAGCTTTCTGGGCATCCTGAAATTCCTGTGACATTTCACTAATGTCTTTAGCATATCCACCCTCTCCAGCTCCCGATTCCTATCCAATCAAGATGTGATATTTAATACCTGCTACATTTCATTAAAATTCTCATTTATAGAACAAATATTTTATAGATACAAATTCTTTCAATTTGAATATCCAAACATTTGAAATATTCAAAGCAATTTTCCCATGGATTTTACCAATAAATTCTCAAGAAATTTTAAAAATGAAAGATATGACTTTATCCTTTTCTTAATAGTACCTGCACAGAAACTTCCAGGAACTGGCCACCAAGAGATTCAATTTGCTCACGAGCTGCCGGCCTTACATCATAGGCTCTGACAATGGCCCCCATTGCTTTGGCTGAACCAATAGCAGCAAGACCGGCCACACCCCCTCCAATTACAAACACCTTTGCTGGAGGTACTTTACCTGCAGCAGTGATCTGACCTAAAAAATGGACAAAAAATGTCAACATCAAGCTGTTATGAAGAATTTTTATTTACATTTAGTAAAAGGAAGAAGATATATATGTAAATATAAATCTAATGATTGAGTTATATTGGTCATGCATGCAACAAGAAACAATCAGGTTTAAACACTACATTATGGATCCACTTAAATTGCTACAATGGATCATTAAGATCTTATTCAAGTCTTAAGCACTTCACTTTGATTATATAGTGTTTATAAGTAACAACTATTTCTTACCCCCTGTTCACACAGAGCTGCGACTTTACGACAATCATCCCAATCAAGCCACAACCTGAAAAAGTTTTGGATTGGGGCGGATCGGAGCCGATCGGCGTCTAAATCGAGCAATTTGGCAAATTATGGTCTTCATTACGACCGTACTACGATGCCCCTACGTCAAATGCGCTGCTAACATGCTTCTACTACGATGTTACGCAGACCGTTGCCGACCAGCGGTTGCGTTTATGCTACGCTGCCGCTACGACATTCAAGATCATGCTACGACGCTACGCAGACCTAGATGACTGTACGACGATATCGCTACGGTGGTGCCGATCATATTACGATTGTATTACGCTTCTAGTATGATTTACATGGTAGTGGGAACATAATAAGAACGTAGTGGGAGCGTTGTAGGAGCGTATTAAGTTCCGACTGTACTACGCTTTTACTACGATCATGAAGATCACGAAGATGTCTCCACGATGCTTCCGCACTACTTGTACGATTATGGCGCTTCTACCACGCTCTTTTTATGATGTTACCCCAATTCTTGTTGGCCATGATCCCGCTAGGCTTGTTTTGAGCATGTTCAAAATAAGCGTGGCAAGAGCGAAGAGCTCTCCGATCATGAAGACCCTACTGCGATCATCCTGCGCTTATGAAGACTCCACTACGTTTTTCCTGCGATTTGTCACGATTGGCCACGTTTTGAGCCACATTTTGATCGTAGCAGAAGCGGCGTCTATGTGTGAACGGGGGCTTACATACTTTGAAAAACACTCTGTGCACTTTGTACAGAATTACATTTCTACCTGTAAAGAACCTTCCAAAGTGGTTAGCTGCCTCAATCACTGCCTTATATCCAGCGATGTTAGCCATGGAACTAAGGGCATCAAAAACCTGAGCTCTGCTTATACGAGGAATCATGTCCATCGCAAATACATTGATATTTTTCTCTGCTAGCTGTTTGACGAGATCTGGGTTTTGCTTGGGGTAGAGAAAACTGATGAGGGTTGAACCACTTCTGAAGTTGGCAATCTCTTCTGTTAAAGGTGCCCTGACTTTGAATACTATGTCAGATTGGAAAGCATCCTTTTTGGAGATGATCTTTGCCCCCGCCTTGGCATAATCCTCATTCTGGAACATTGCCTCTGCACCTGCATTCTCTTCAATGTTTATTGTAAATCCCTTCTTCGTTAGTGTAGTTACAGTGGCCGGTGACATTGCCACTCGACGCTCATTTTTGAAGATTTCCTTCGGAACTCCAATTGAAAGCTTGCTATATGGAGTTCCCTTTGGTGCTTCCTATTATAAATTGAAATTATAATTATATTCTTATCACTCTTAAGAAAATGAATTATAAAATCACCTTCTTTATACAATTTTATTTACATTACAAATATCAAACACTTGCTTTATATACAAATTTCTCATATTTTAATTGTTTAAACATTTATTTTTCCTGAATATTTAATATTTCTACTAAATTTACATGATATATATTATGGTAAAATGTTGAAAACAGAAAGCAAATTATCATATTTTGCAAGGTTCCAAATTCAAACCTGTTCAGCTTTCTGAGAGAAAGACCTCCCTGGATTCTTGAGACCACGACAGCATCGTAATGAAAGACTTTTTACACTTGATCCTAAACTGACCAATTTGGCAGAGGTATGAAGTTTGAACAACATGTTGATTCCAACACCAGTATGGTGTACCTAGTTGAAATAAAATGTTTTTAATGTAATACAGCATTTTATCCTCACAACTTCAGGGGGTCGAATCCACTGGCAGTGGGACCCCTGATAAACTTGATCCAGCTTTACGGGCTGACTGCAGTGACGTCTTTTGGGTAAATTACAAAATCAATCCTAATTGTTTTTCTTATCTCAACCAATCGCATTAAGCCTTCTGATGACAACAACTTGTATCACATCAACTGCTTCCTCTCTGTTTACATTTTATTGCAACTTAGAAATCCCCAGTTTGAGCTCGCTAAGAGAAGTTGTACAAAGAAAGAAAAAAAAAGTTTGTCAGAGGTTCCAATGTCACCAGTGGACTCAACTTAAGAATTGTGAGGATGTACTGCATTCTGCACATACAATTTTCAGTTGAATAACGTGCCCAAATATTTTTTTTATTTTATCCAGTTAACTGCAATACCGAGTACTGCTTACAAAACTCATAATCAACATTGCAGAGACAAAATTGAACCTGTATAAAAAATCTAAAAGAAATGTCAACAATTCCTATCTTTTTCATGAATTTGATTAAATTATTGTTTGTCAACAGGAAGTGACACACACAAAGTTAGAGGAAAAGTGAACATGGTGAACAGTAGCAAATTAGTAGGCGGTATATATAATCAGATCTTTGTCCAACAGATGATATAGTGCTAGGGTCAGTTTCCACTAGTCAGTGTTGAAGCCATCACATTCTTGTCACAATGATACACCTAGACTTTTTGGAAACTATTATTCAACAAAATTTAACAGTTGGGACTCAGAACATTTTAAAGGTCAGTATGTGCTGCATAATTTTAAACAGTTTTAATAAGAGGTTTTAACAAGAATGAGTGCAAAGAATCAGTGCTTGTTGCACACATAACAAATAAAAATAAACAATTTCAATACAAGGGAGCATTTGTATTTTGGCATCTAGCTAACCACCTTGAAAGGTCAAAAACTTTAGCAACAAGCAGACCGATGGAGTTTTTTAATGCAAACACATAAAATATGACAGCATGAGGTGATATTTTGCTAAGTACAGAAGTTAGTAGAACAATGACGCTGACTGACATATTGATCACACTTACAATCCAAGATTAGAGGGCCATGCTGTCCCTTTTCTTTGCCACCTTGCAAACTGCCGGTGTTTTCTGCAATGGCCGCCTCCGTGGAATCGACTTGTCTGAAACCAATGAGATTTCGACAAAAAGTCACATGTTAATTCTTAGTGAGGTGGTGCCTATTCTGGAAAAGGTTGTTTAACTTTATAAAAAAATAATTCCAACACAAAAATTTGCAATAATATTCAAATCCTTTTAGTTTTGAGATTCAAATTTAAAATATCCGTTATAAGATCTAAATAAATAGAGGATTTACAAGTTAGATTACACAATGATGCCAAAATATATATCTGCGAACATCCTATGACCCCCTTTCAAATGTGTAGTCCTGTTGCACTTCCTGTAGTGGTTCTCTTGCTCTGAAGGAAAATGGCAAGTTCAGTCGTAAACGCAGGCCGTCTCTTTTGGCGCTCTGGCGGCAAATTACAAAGGTTTGCAGCGCCTGTTGCATTAAATGCAACACAACAAAGAGATTGTAAGTGTTTTTATTACGGAAGTTTTTATTTATAACATGAAAAGAGACTGTAATTGCTATGTATTCGATAAGTCAGTTTGACATTGGGATAAGAATAAGGGAGGTCATAACAGTTTTCTATTGCTACAAAGAATTCCTCAAAATTGTTTGTGGAAAAAAGACATAAGTTGCTAGTTTTAAAGCATTATTATTATTTGAAATTGACAAAGCCTGATATATGAATTCATCTTCATAATTAGTCTTCTTGAATTAAATGTGCGAAAGTGAAAATGAGGAAATTGCTTTTGTGTTTTAAATTTATATTTTTTATTTACCTATAGATCTGTATAACTTGTCAACTAATGCATTTAATTTTTAGTGAAAAGGAACACAGATGCAGTAAACAGCTCTCAAACTATATATTTGTTGATCTTTAACCTTGCATCTTAAAAAAGATATTTCATTACCTGTTCATGACATCACTCAATACCTTTGCCAACACACTCACTGGCACGAGCCAAGCTAAATTAGAGGAAAGCTAGGAGCTAACTTATCCTTCCCTTTATTCCTTTAAAACTACTTTTTCAGAGTTTGGCTATTACAATGCATATCTCATTATGATCTGTTATGACTGTATTCAGATAGGTTACATCATGAGGATGTAAGAAAAATTCACATTAACAAAGTTTAAATTTTTTTTTACAATGTAGATGGAACCAAAAGAATCAAGGTTGCCAACCCAGTGGTGGAGATGGATGGTGATGAGATGACCCGCATCATTTGGGAAAAGATTAAGGAAACCGTAAGGAGACCTCATGATTTTGATATATATTCCCTTTTACAGAGGAACATTTATTTTTCTGTGATTTTTTTATGTTATATTCTACAAACGTGTTCAAATGGTGTATAATTAATTTTCAAGCCTCCTGAATAAAGTGAACATTCCAAATCATAGAATAATTAAAGTATATAGATTCTTATATCTTCTTTAATAAGCATTTCTAATCAAAGAGTCACTGTCCTGCTTTGGTTCTCTAATTCAGTGTGCAGTAGCATAAAAAAGAATTGGTTTTGAGGTTCACCTCTGCATCATAGATTGACCCAGTGAAGAGCTGAGATTAAATTTTATAGATCAGGGTGTAGCTTATGGTTTCTGTTACAAAAAAATACATTCCTGATGACCAAACTCATTTTTTGCTGGGTCCCAGGGCCTAATAATAAAGTTTTTGTTTATAAAAATAAATATTTTGTTTCCATGCAATTAAAATTGGCTGGGCTAGAATGTTTATATTAGTATAGAAGTTGAAGTATTAAATATGAGACCAAATTTAATTGTGATCATCTACATTTGAATATAAAAAAAAAAATCAGTATAAAGATTTGATATAATTACAGTGAGGGTACTGTATAGGGGGAAAATAACTCGTGGTGTTAATATTCGCTATATTCACCGTGTTAATAAATCCGTGAATTCAAGAAACAGTGAATAAGTTTTAAATATTAAACCTCAATGTTTTATTTGGAAATTTGAGAATAGACTACGATAGGTATATATACGTACAATACATGGTCATTCAGTAATTACGAGTATAGTACTTGTCATTCAATTATCTTCATTATCACGCTCTACTTTAATTCAAATAAGCAGCTAATTACCTGTATTTATTGTTCAAAAGCTGTTTTAATAGATACATGTTTCATCAGTCAAAACGCATGGGTCATCGGTTTTGATTACCCGTGCGTAACGTTACCACGTGTATTTGTTACCTGCATTAGCATTATGCATATTAGTTTTTATGGAAATTTTGGTTTAAAAAAATATTATTCGAATAACTATCGAACTTGCTGAAGATATGGAAGGATATCATTACGTCTACTTAAAATAATACAATCATTAGCGTCCAGTGTCTTTTTTTTTTTTTTTGCTGCGATGTGTTATACCTTCGGAAAGATGTATGTACACATGCACTTTTAGGAAAGTCATTTGACGTTTCTAGTCAAAAAAATTTGTTTTGATTAATCGTCAATTAACTACTAAATCTAATCATTTTATATAAACCTACCCTGTTCATGAAGTGAATACGTAAGGCTGATAAATGTCGTTCTAGCTATACTATGGATTACACGGATAAAGACAAAGGAGGTAACTTTTATCATATACCGATTCTGCGAATTCAACAAACCGCGATCGTGTCCGAGGAGAGAAAAACGTGAAAATTACAACCCGTGAAATTAATCCCCTATACAGTATTCACATCTATTGTACCCTTCTGGTTTGTTAATAAATGGAGATATATGAAGACCACCAATGATACATGTATCTCTTCAAACAGCATTTTTATGTAACTTTGTGCACACATAAGACATCTTTATTTTTTGATTGTAATAGTTGATCTTGCCGTACATTGACGTTGATCTAAAGTACTACGATCTGGGCTTGCCATACAGAGACCAGACAGATGATCAGGTCACCATTGATGCTGCCCTGGCCACCAAAAAATACAATGTAGCAGTCAAGTGTGCGACAATTACCCCTGATGAAGCTCGTGTAGAAGGTATTTTTTTGCCAATGATCTATAGTCAAAGATGTTTTTATCTGCAGCATTGTTGATTTTAGCTCTTTACAAAGAGAAAATATTTTTTTTAATATTTGTAAAATATGCATTTGATTTGTAGAATTTAAGCTCAAAAAGATGTGGCTTAGTCCAAATGGCACAATTAGAAACATTCTAGGAGGAACAGTGTTCCGAGAACCAATTATCTGTCAGAAAATTCCACGCTTGGTGCCAGGATGGACAAGGCCTATTGTGATTGGTCGTCATGCCCATGGTGACCAGGTCAGTAAAATTGTAGCTTTTGAAACATAGCAACTAAGGGTTTTTTTGTTTTTTTTTTAATTAGGAATGGTCATTTGCAAATAAGGTAATTCTGTAAAATTGTGAAATCACTATATTTTCTTTAAGTAATTTTCAACTTATAATAATAATTATTGTCAACATTTTCCGGGTTTTTCATTTTGGTGTACTAAATTTGCTCATATTTTATTTTTATTCCTGACCTCTGTGAGAAAACTGTCATAATTTCCTAGGAAAAAAATCTGTATTGGTGAACAGAGAGATTTTCCAATCAAATGTTATCTGGTGATAAACTTACTTAATAGGCCTATAAGATATTGGTCAGTTTAATGTACTTAAAATGATATACATAAGAGTGAAATTTGATGATGTGTGGAGGTTAAGTACATGTATTCTGACTTTTGTGGTTCTTTTTGACAGTACAAAGCCACTGACATGGTAGTGCCTGGAAATGGAAAAATTGAGCTAGTCTACACTCCTGAGGGGGGAAAAGAAGAAAGAACAACTGTATTTGAATTCAAAAATGGTGGAGGATGTACCATGGCCATGTACAACACAGACGAGGTTAGCACAAGACAATTGAAATAATGATTGAAGACGAGTTATTTCTGAGCAAAAGTTGATGGAGGGGGGAAGGTAGCAAATAAATAAAGCAAGTATTGTTCAAAAGATAAAAACTACATTTGCTTGCCAGATTTCTTTTCAAATTTGTGAGGAAGTTTGGTGGCAAGATGTTAAGTTTTCTTACTAAGTGCACATAATTTACAAACATTCTCTAGTTTCCTAGAAAAATGTGTTACTTGGTACTGGTAAATATGTACAATGAGTCTAAACATGAAGGGAGAATCAAGTAGAATATAATGGTTCTTTGATATTTTTCTTTCCTTACAGAGCATCAGTGACTTTGCCCACACATGTTTCCAGTATGCCATTATGAAGAAATGGCCTCTTTACATGAGTACAAAGAACACCATTCTGAAGAGATATGATGGAAGATTCAAAGACATCTTCCAGGACATCTTCGAGACAAAGTTAGTTGCACATATTTTAAGCTTTCAATAATAGTATTCAATCCAACTCCTGAGCAATTAAGTTTTAAAAATTGATTTTAATATCATATTTGGTGTATTGTGGAATCTGACACGATACTAGTGTAAGTACACATTCTGAAGTAGAACATCTCCATGTTTTGAATGATTCATTTGACAGAGGATACAAGGAGAAGTTTGATGAGCTGAAGATCTGGTATGAGCACCGTCTGATTGATGATATGGTGGCTCAGGCTCTCAAGTCAGATGGAGGATTTGTGTGGGCGTGTAAGAACTACGATGGAGATGTCCAGTCTGACGTAGTCGCCCAAGGTAAAACTACAACAGCTTTCATCTTTTTAATGACATGGAAGGTGGTATTTTGTTACCTTAACTGGTCATATACATGTACCAGAAAAGCTTATGTATAATTAAAATTATTTCAAAATGTATACCCCTACACCAAATTTTGACTACTTTGATTTGTGTGTTTTGCAAAAGTAGATTAAATTTTGATGCATGATTCTGTTTATTTATTTCCATATATTACAAATTATACTGAATACGGAAAGTAATATTTTTGAAATGATTTTTTCCCCAGAAAGTTTAATTACATTTAGAGTTTATATATTCCAAGTACTGACAGTTATATGTGTGTATTTTATGTCTCAGGTTATGGTTCATTGGGTCTTATGACCAGTGTACTTGTATGCCCTGATGGAAAAACTATCGAGTCAGAGGCTGCCCATGGAACTGTGACAAGACACTACAGAGAACATCAAAAGGTAAATCTCTAGATAAGTATATATGTGAATTAGGATGAGAAAAAAATTCTGTTTGAATAATAATGTATAGGTAGAAATTCACAGTAAAATTAAAGCCAAGGCATATAAAAGTTGTACAGATCTTGAATGTCACCTTGAGATAATCTCGTGATGTGTATCATGAAAAGTACATGTATCTGTAGGGAAACCCTACCAGTACAAACCCGGTGGCCAGTATTTATGCCTGGACTAGAGGATTAGAACACAGAGGCAAGCTGGATGGAAATCAGGATCTTATTGTGTAAGTAAATGTATTTCTTGATGTGACACATGGTACTATTATGTGAGCTGAACATTTACAACATTGTATTTATGAATATGCAGCTGTTACCCTGTAATAAATGTTTTCTCTGTGCAATGGTATGTAAATTCAATATGCTGTGTAAGCTTTCGATAGAAAAATCCTTGGGTTTCATTACAATAATGTAAATATTTTTTGCTCGACAGCTTTTCACAGAAATTGGAAAAAGCATGTGTAGACACAGTAGATAGTGGAAAAATGACCAAGGACTTGGCAGGCTGTATATATGGATTGAAGAAGTAAGAGGAATTTCAATTATAATATTTGGAAAAAACTTGCTGAAATCACAGTCAGAGTCACAGTCACTCTGACAAGTTATTTATTGTCAAAGTGATTTGGTGCATGTACATGTACATTAAAACTATTATGAGAAGTCACTTGGGCCTTGAATTTTTCTTCTTTATAACTAAGATTCTTGTGTGTATAAGGAACATAGTGAAAAATCCCCTAGGGGATTTAAAAAATTCCTTTTAACTGAGATTTCCTTAATAACCAAGTTCCTTATAAGCGAGTTTTACTGTACACAATTTGAAGTAATGAGCATGTTAAGTAGATACATATATGTATAGATGTATGATGGCATGTTGCCCAAATATTACTAGGTGTTTTGTGGTAATAAGTGTATTTGTTTTTACAGTGTAAAGCCCGAGCATTATCTCAACACCATGGATTTCCTGCAGGCCATCAGAGAGACCCAGGAGAAGATGTGATGTGTGTGAAGTGTTAGAGCTCTAACAATCAAAGTCTGTGATCCATAAATATGAACACTCACTAAATCGTACCTCTTTTTTTATAGTATACTGGAAATAATGGTCTGATTTCTTACAAAGGCAGCACAAAATTCTGGTCAGCCTGATTGTGAGGAATGAGAATCTGAATTTTCTCCAGATCATGGCCTAGAACATTTTTTTTAAATAGTATAATCATGTCAAATTATATATCTCCAGTCATTTGTTGATGGTTGTTAACATTTATGCAAATTTTTCTGCTTTATTTATGGATATCGACTTTCTATACATGTCTTTGATTGCCATTTTATGTATGGACATGTATGGATTTTCCTCTTTTTTATTTTTACACACACCAAAGTGCCAATAATGAGAGTGCTAACTTTCTACACAAACATTTAATGATACACTGTTCCTTCCTGTGGGTTTGTTGCTCTGCAGGCAGGGGAAATAAGGGTATGTGCAACATTCCATCAGGAGTATTAAGTATTTCCTAAACGGACCACTGACGGTTGTAAAAGTTTGTCCTTTTGAGTGAAATAAAAATTAGTAATATGTCTTCTTCTGTGTCTTCAATGTCAGTTGGAGCATGAAATTAGGAATTTTAGTTGCTAAAAGAAATAGAGAGGTGAACCTCTGAGTCTCTAGCTGTAGAATCTATCAAGCGCTTAACTGCAACATGAATTTTGCTGAGTATGGTCTGGAATGAAGACCGAGATTGGTAAAAAGGATCATTAAGGGCCGTTTTCAGTTTAGAAATATATGAGTGCCAAAATAACAAATGTAATAAATAGAAGATAGCTAAAGCACACTATTTCAATTAAAATGCGACATCTTCAATTTTGAATAATGTGTATTCCATTGTTGAATATAATTAATTTGCTGAATTGTTGTTTGCAGTGATTGAATATTCACATTTCCAAAAAAAAAATGCTTAATTTTCACTTTCAAAATGAACATTACGCCTTGTTTATATGAAAACAACTAAATAATAAAATACCTTTAATTGAATCTCGACCAAATTTTTTCACTGGCTGGATACAAATTTTTTTTTTTATCAAGAACAAAATTAAATTTTATTTTATGCTTTAAAGAAATGAATAAAGAGAAGTATCCAATTCATTTCTTTATGGAAAAAATTTGCTCTGCTTATTCAATTTCAGCGACAAACTACTTTCATGTGCACGAAATGCAGAGAATCAGATAAGTAATATAATATTGGAAATGTATAAAATTTCTCCTGACTGTATTTTGTGAGCTTAATTACCAGAATAAATGAATCCCATTTGTAATTAATTTTACGAAAGGCGTGCCAGTCGCCCGCGTGGCGCAGTGGTTAGAGCGTTCGCTCTGGAGTCGCGGCGTAAGGAGTTGATCCTTACGTCGCGGGTTCGAATCCCACTGTGGGACGTGGAGACCGATCCTTCGGATGAGACCGTGTAAACCGAGGTCCTGTGTCGCAGTAGGTGCTGACACGAAAAAGATCCCTCACTGCTCAATGGCCGTAAGTGCCGAGTATAGGACAAAATTTGCAGCTCTCCACCGGCAAATGGTGGCGTCTCCAAATGAGTGAAAAATTCTCGAGAGGGACGTTAAACAACATACAAACAAACAAACGAAAGGCGTGCCTCATCTAAATCAATAAATAATGATTTTTTTTTTAAATGTACCCCGTTTATACTTCTAGTATTAAGGGATACATATTTATTATCATTAACTGATGTAGACGAGGGGCGCCTTCGGTTAAAATATAATGCCACAGAAAGCCTTTTATAATGTTATTTATTCAGTTTAATCAAAATATTACAGGTGATGAGGGTATATTGTTACATACATAAACAAGCAAATTCAAAGAATTGTGGTCTCCCGCCTTCGGTGTCTCATTAGTGGATGAGATGCCATTATTTATGGCATATTGTAACTCTGTATTGTCTATACATCATACAAAAATACATAAATTATTGAATTAATAACAGTTAAGGCAAAGATTATAGCTTCTTAAAAGTACATCAAACTTCAAGGTCATGAGGTCAAATATAATACAATTTGAAAGGTCTTGTCACAAGTAATGCACATGTGAAAAATAATATCAAAAACCAAAGTATACATTGGGAAAGGTCATGAAAGAGGTAATGCACATGTCAAATGTAAATGCCATAATTATCTTCTCTCAATCAAAAGTTATCAGCAATGTTTATTTTTTGAAAATTAGGTCAAATTTCAAGGTCAAGGTCATGGGGTTAAAAATCATAGTATATTTGGAAATGTTTGTCACAGGTAATGCACGTGTCTAATATGAATGCCCTATCTTCGCTCCTTCAAGAGTTAGCAACACTGATAAAATTTTGAAAATTAGGTCAAACTTGAAAGTGAAGGTCACGGGGTCAAATATCATAGCACAATCGGAAACATTTTGACACAGGTAATGCACTTGTCAAACATCGTATGCCATTCAAAAGGAATCACCAAAGTTAACATTTTTGAAGGAGTCAAAAATCATAGCATGTTCGGAAACAACTTGTTACAGATAACACAGATGGTTGTTAGGTTACCATTAACGTCTTTTTCTAGTTAAATATCTAAATATGAAACAGATGTGTCAGACTCTGTGGTATCTTTTATTTCAAGCTCACTGGGGTATATCGTGTCTACATATGAATGGAAGTAACTATTGTTAATTGATAATGTTGATATATCTAAATGTCGAGTTGAAGGCCACAGCAAGTGGTTTTTTTTATGTAGAAGTTTTTGAATAAATTCTGCTTCATATAAATACAAAAAAGGTCTGCTATGAAGGGGGCGCAATTGTCACTCATGGAAATTCTAACAGATTGTGGAAGACCATGCTCGCAATGCCAGGGGTCCTGAGTCAACACGTTGCAGTTAGACCCCTGACAAATTTCATTTGATATTATAGGGCGTGCTCCTCTCATTGATAAGCACCAATCTATATAAAGCTTTCAAAAAGAGTTAGATAACGTAAACAGAAAGGATTCAATTGACACCTCAAATGCACGTGTTACAAGATGTCTATCATAGAATGGCTTAATGTGATTGGTTGAGAGATAAGAAAAACAATCAAGATTTGTAATTTTTCCGAAAGATGTCCCTACAGTCAGCCCACGAATAATTGAATCAAATTTGCCAGGGGTCCAATGGCAACACCCCTGGCATTGCCAGGATGGTGGGAGACCTGGTCTCCAAAAACTACATAAATATTTTCAATCAGAAACTCAAGCATCTTTTTTAATATCAACTTCAGAGTACTTGTGCCTGTACAATCAGAATGTTTTTTAACTAAATAATTTTGCGAATGACCAATGGCAAGGTAAGTATATCTATGAGTTTCATTTTTATTGAAAAAGCAGCTGTCTATGATGTCAAAAAGCCTGGACTTTAATTTATCGTGGGGAACGGTTGTATAAAGTGTTGAAATTAAAGTCACACGTTTTGATGTTATTGATTTTGTTAAAATTTCAAATTTTCTAAAAGTTCCTTGGAATTTTTAGCATCCACATATGATTTACACTACTTCTCGAATTTACTGTTGTACAGTACTCCTGAAGCTGTAAATATTTTAGTGAGGAGTGAAGAAAGATGCTTTGTAGAACATTTACTGGAACCCGCTATGTAAGAGTTTTGGAATCCAGTATAGGTATGGTAATTCAAATTCATTTTGATTGTTGGGAATATTAAAAATATTTAAAACTGAAAAAAATTAAGCGCATAACCAGACAGATCTTGAAATAGGCTACAAAGGATAAATTAAGACGAGCTATTAATGTATTAGGAAAATTAAACAGACAAACTGATATAAAGAAAGCAACAAAAAGTAGGTATTAAATCCTCAGAAGAACGAACTAACAGCATTCATACAAACTTTGGATACTAAAATGACTCGAATGAAAAAAGACATCAATGAATTGCATCAGAAATATACCAGCAGAATGATCACACATCTTCGAGACTGGGAAAGTGTATACCAGAGAGGGAAAGGTTAGCAGGAATTTAGAGCTTGTCGTGATCATGGAGATTCCTCGTACAGAGATAAGAGATGATGGTGATGTAGTCTGTTGTAGATGTGGACAAATAGATCATTTGATATGGTCAAGTTCATTTAGATGAAAGGGGGAGGGTCTTAACCTTTCTAAACCTCTATTCTCTTTAGAGAAGTTGACAGACTTTCGCCTACATCCATACATGTAGACGAAAGCCTGTCCACTTCTCTAAAGAGAACATCTTGACCTCCATTGAGATGGAGACGTTAGATCGAAATCATGCACAAAGTCAGGGATTCTTGGATAACCAATAAAGTTGATGTAAATATATATACATTTACAAGAAATGCATTGTTAGATGAAGAACTACAATATTACAATCTGTGAATCATTCTATGTCTAAAATTTAATGGACATTGAATGAAGGACATCAAGGAAACATTTTAAACTTGTAGATAGTAGAAATTTGCTTTTTAAAGGAAGGATCTACAAAATTAGAAATGATTAGAAGATAATAACAGCTCTTTCCTAGTTGGGGATGATACCAACTACTACAGGTTTAGTAACCAGTGTTTGAGGATCACGATGCAAGATGCCACAGACACTTATGCCGTTATGGGTGAAAGACTACTTTCATCAATCATACTCTGGAGTCATTTCTCCGTGGGGGAAATCATACTTCAGAGCCTATTTTCCAAGGCGGGGAAATACTACTCTAGAGCCAGTTTTCCAGGGGGAAGATTTCAGAGGGGAAAGCCTACTCTACAAGACTGGTATTATCACTCATGATCATCACTGCTCCAGTCGCCCGCATGGCGCAGTGGTTAGAGAGTTTGCTCTAGAGTCGCGAAGTAAGGAGTTGACCCTTACGTAGCGGGTTCGAATACACTGTGAAACTTGGAGACCGGTCATTCGGATTAGACCATATAAACGAAGTCCCGTGTCGTAGTACTGCTGGCACGAAAAAGGTCCCTCATTGCTCAAAGCCGTACGTGCAGAGAACAGGTCTAAATTTGAAGCCCTCCATCGGCAAGTGGTGGCGTCTCAATACGAGTGAAAAAAATATCGAAGGGACGTTAAACAGCAAAACAAACCAACATCTCTGCTCCAATAGATGCTGAACATAGAAGAACAGAAGATAGAAGTCAGACCAGATCCAGTGAGGGAAACCTGGAAAATCCCTAAATCAAAAACAAGAGGGTAGGATTCAGGAGGTGATGAGAAGCTTTATTAAGAATATCTGCAAAGACAGCGACGACCACCAAAGCACTGACATGTAGTTGAATATAAAGGCTAGTCGCGGAATTATTTGCTTTCAGGAAGTGTGGTAGGCGGGGCTTGTAAAGATAAACATTGAACTTACAAGGTAGTGAGACGTTCTTAATGCAAAAATATAGATTAAGAAATTACCACTGCACTCATCACATCACCAGTTGATGTTGAAAGAATAAAAAGAAAGGTACAATTTTCTCATATATTTTATTCAGAAATGTTTTTAGAAGAGATGATTCAAACGTCTACCAAAAAGAAATCCTCTTAAAATGTCAGTTGAATACATGTAGTGCCGAGTTAAGTCTAAATATCTTATTTTGTTTCAACTGGAAGAGTTGCGTATGTACATGTAACACAGTTATCAGGTAATAAATTATTTAAGCTAAATCCACTCTGTTGTAGAGATAGGAAAACAGTTCAAAAGGAATGTAAAGATCAGTCAGAGATGTGCGTTCTAAAAAAAATTAGTGCACTCAATCATTTCAGGTATTTTGTGGAATACAACTCTCCAGATCTGGTACCGAACCACAGCTGATTTTGTTGATCAACAGCTGTTGAGATGATTTCTTCAGAAATACCAGTATCTATCTCATGCATAAACTCCAGACTTGGATTAATGATGAAGAGCGATGCGTTCGATGCCATGATAACATTCCCAAACTTGTCCACTGATGCACTCGCTGAATACAAAGTTATGTTTACTTTGTTCATCTTTGCTGAGGAAATTTGATCGGCTTCCAAAGGGATTAAACCGTCAGAATGTGCGCGAATGGCAACTATTTGACCATTTAGAGATATGATCTGATTTATATCATCAGATGCCTTCTGTGTGTGGTATACGCATTCAAATTCTCCATTCTTGTTAAGTTTCATAATAAAGTATTTTTTGCCATTTGCATGATGTGCAACAACGAATATTTTTTCATCTTGGTACAAAATTCCACAAAGATTTGAAACAATGGAAGAAAGATCTGCTAAAACCTTTACATCTCCTTCTTTTGATATTGAGGTAATGATAGGTTTAGAACCACCATATCCCTGTGTTATTAAAACGTCACCAGAGGGTGTGCAACAATTGAATACAGGCCTAAAGTCTACTTCAAAAGTTCTTATGACCTCGCCTGTTGTATTTCGAAGATATACTGTGCCTCCCAATTGGTTCACCCACACTAGATTGTTTTCAGACACACATACTCCATGTATGCATGCCACCTTTTGTTCTATTGTGGGATAGTGTTTAATGGTAATTTTCGCTAAAAACAAGTTGGAAAAATCTTTTGCATATGTTTCCTCTTTCAATGCTACAGTATTTTGAATTTCCTTAACCAATATGGTGCGTTCATTCCTGGGCAAAGTTTGTTTGATCATATTTGCTTTTGACTTTTTATAGCTTTCAGCTTTAGAATTCAAGGGACTGTTCAATCGAAAATTTTCTTTCTTCTCTTGATGAGAACTTTTATTAAAGGTCGGACTTTTTACTCGAGGATTTGTTGTCCTCCTCTGCCTACTTTGTTTTCTCAAATTTTCAAGCAGATTCCTACTTGGAAGGTCTTCTTTGTCCCTGTTTTTCTTTATTTGCAGGCAAATTTTAGAAATAGGATGCTTGTTTACTTTTTCCTTTCTGTCTTCGGTGTGTTTAATTGAAGATCGAAGCACTCTCTGAGCCTTCTTTTTTTGAAATCCTACATCAAGATGGGTACCTCCCTCTGACTTCTTTACGGTTTTTCTTTTCAATGACTCTTTCATTTTGACACCCTGGAGTTTTGCCTTATCGTTTGATTTATCTACATCTGTAGGGTGACGTTTACGTCCTCTAGCTGACGGCTTTACTCTCCTATCTGTTCTTTGATCATTATGCTCTAACTGGATCCGTTTCCGTTTGGAGTTTTGGACTTTTGTCGGAGTATTATGCTCTAACTGGATCCGTCTCCGTTTGGAGTTTTGGAATTTTGTCGGAGTATTAGGCTCTTTCTGGATCCGTCTCCTTTTGGAGTTTTGGACTTTTGTCGGAATATTATCTGAAAGTACGTTTTACTACCTTATAATTAAAATATGCTATGTACAGTTTAATTTTTTTTTTTATTTCTTAAAGTCATATATGGCGTATATTTTGTAAGTTCAGACTTACTAAAACTAAAAAGTTCTTTCTATTTGTTTTATTACTTTACGAAAAGATAGGACTTTCCTGCAAGTTACACAATTTAAATCAATCACGTTTCAAAGATATCAGAAATTTAAAACAATAACCGATTTATTTACCGACTCCGCATTTAAGTTACAGACACAGTTTAAAGTCAATTTAACTATGGAAACATGAGGTTATTCAAGTTCAAAATCGGTGAAAATGTTAATTTGAACGTTAATAACATATATCATATCTACCTACACTCAATTTCGTATTTTTATTTTTTAGCTCAGATACGCCATACATAGCTTTAAGGGGTTTGTCACACAAAAACTTCTTTATAATCTGGAAGCAGCAAAAAAAAAAAAAAAAAAAGGTCAGAATCGTTTTTTAAAAAAGACGATAAAATTTATATCAAAGTTTTCAGGCACAGTTTAGATTAAAAACATCTCATTTTTTTCTTTTGTTTTCGTTGTTGTTAGTGTTGTTTAATTGTTTCTAAATTTAATTATATATAAGGATCCTTGCTTAAATATTTAAATATTGTAGTCAAAAGAATATACATTTCTTTATAAAAATAAATTCCAACTCAAAATGTTGGATACTTTAAATATCCCCAACAGAATATTAGCAGGTCATCTTATCAATAATAAAGTGATGACACACCTTGTTCATATTGTCCACTCTCACATTTCCGTTTCCGGAGGTTATACGTTTTGCAAGGTACCGTCTCTTTGACATGTTCTCTAGACCTGTCTCTGGTAGCAGATTTAGTTCGCCCGTGGTGTTTCTTCATTTTAGATTTATCTATGTACAGGCTATACACAAACCCTACAAATCTCAAATACATGTACATTATTTGAACGGAATTTCAAAATTTCAGTACGTACGTGCTGTAATGTTGATAAATAGCCAAGTTCTAAGCCTTTTTTGTCAAATGGTGGTACTAGCAATTGCAAATGAAATTGTGTATATTGTAAATTCCCCGATGTAGATTCTTACTTATTTCTCTTTTTTACAAATGTACGCTTTCAATATCATACAACCCATAACGTTTCTAGACAAATTACTACGTTATTTAATCTGGAAACTCACCTGCCCACTCTTCTATATCAACGTTACGTCTTCAACATGTACGTATACACATGAAACGGGAGGAATTTCCTTGTCCTAGATCCAATATTTACCCAGAGTTGCCGTTCGTCACTCAATTCTGAACGATAACTCTTGGTTGTCATTTTTTTTTCAATTACGACACCCGAGGCAACAAAGAGGGTCCAGATAATTAAAGACTTTGTCTCAGTACCTATATGGCTACAAGCAGAAATATGCAGACAGCCTCGCCTACTATAAATAGATGAAAGTTTGTTCCTACCATACCCTGGGATCATAAGCGCTTGGTTTCAGGAGGGTGCATTTTGCGTATTAAGAGTTTTTCTGGGTGTATCTGAATACACCCATTAAAATAAAAATAAAATTGTATGTGAAATACTGATGCCCTCGTATAGCAACGTATAACGAAGGTTAACCTTTCTCAAAAGCAAATCAATTATGTTGGTACCCAAAATAACATGCTAAGGTCTTGTCTCAAGGTCTGGAATATACCTGTGAAATATTATTGCTCATACCTTGTACAGCGATTGTTTATAATCCGAGTGTCTTAACCTTAACACAAGGTTATTCTGGTAATATCAAGGTCATTCACAGTAAAGCTATATGTTTAAAATTTTTGGCTGGTCTGGAACTTCTTTGTCCAGAAATATTGGAGTTTCTTACTTCATACACAGATTTCTTATGACCTGAAGTTGTGTCATGATCTTCACCTAAGGTGAAGTCCTAGCAGCAACCATTGAAAAGATATGGAAAAGGTTGAAGTAGGTCAAAAATCAAGGTCAATGTCAAATGGTCAAAATAATGGTGCCCAAGGAAAGGCCTTCTCACAAGAAATACACATCTTAAATATGAAAGCCCTAGCACCAACCGTTTAAAAGTTATAGCCAAGGTTAAAGTTTTTCAAATGTAGGTCAAACTCCAATGTCAATGGGCCATAATTGTTGGTCTTGTCACAAGGAATACACATGTGAAGTATGAAAGCCCTGTCACCAACTGTTCAAAAGTTATGACCGAGGTGTAAGTTTTTCAAAGTAGGTCAAACTCCAAGTTCAAGGTCAAAGTCTATGGCATCCAAAGTAAGGTATTGTCACAAGGATAACATATGTGAAATTTGAAAGCCTTAACATCAACTGTTCAAAAGTATTGGTCAGGGTTAAAGTTTTCCAAAAGAAGGTCACACTCCAAGGTCAAGGTCAATGGGCTATAATTGTTGGTATACAAAGTAAGGTCTTGTCACAAGGAATACACATGTGAAGTATGAAAGCCTTAGCACCAACAGTTCATAAGTATCTAGTAGCCAAGGTTTCCAAAAGTAAGTCAAACTCTAAGTTCAAGGTCAAAGGGTCAAAGTTGCTGGTATCCAAATGAAGGTCTTGTCACAAGGATAGCACATATGAAGTATGAAAGCCCTAGCATTAACTGTTCAAAAGTTATGGCCAAGGTTAAAGTTAGAGAATATTTTGCAAAACTGGGTTAAACTCCAAATATGATGGTACCCAAAGAAAAGTCTTGTCACAAGGAATACACACGTGAAATATGAAATCCATAGCTCCAACCAATCAAAAGTTATGGGCAAGGTTAAAGTTTTAAAGGTTAGCACGTGACCTGCGCGTACACATTGCGATACCTAGCACAGAAACTGAAAGCAACGGATGGTGACGATTTCTAACTATGTAAAATATAGAGACGTCCCGGAAATACACGAAAATTAAGTCTAGAGGGGTCAGAAACCGAGTCAAACTTGTTCTTTTTAGCCTTTCTGTGTAATTCTGGGACGCCTTTACATAGCCTGGGATAGGGATCTAGCCACAATACGTATCCAAGGTTTTGCAAAAGACTGTACAGGAAAATGATTAATATCTTAATTCTTCACAAGAACTACAAAAAGCAAAAAAAAAAAAAAAATAAAAAAAAAATAAAATAAATAAATAAAAATAAAAATAAAAATGTCAAATGTACATATATATTATTATAACAGTAACTTGATCCGAAGAGCCGTATCACGTCTCGTTGACAGGCGCGGATCATCAGATCAAACGAGACGCGAAGCGTCGAGTTTGATCTGATGTTCCGCGCCTGTCAACGAGACGTGATACGGCTCTTCGGATCAAGTTACTGTTATAATGATAAATTTATTATATACCCCTTTACAACTAGCAAAGTAAAATAAAAGGAAACTTTTTGGATCAATTACATAACTTTTATCCATTAAACAAACCATTTTGATGCGCGTGAATAAAAACGTCATTTATCTGTGTACTACGTCGTCAATTTCAGAGAGGGGCGATATGGATTCAGAAAACCACAGTGTGGTGATCCGGAACGTCGGATCACACCGTCACGTGATTGAGTGACTTCAACAGTAAAAGTTGGGTATATAATAAATTTAGTTATCTTCGTGTTTGTGTTATTTAAAGTTTATCTTCTACCTTGGCCTCTTGGGCAGGAAAGGGAGTACAAAAGAAGTCCTAATTTAACAGAGAAGTGTATAGGGAAAATCTTTATTTTTATCTTCTAAATAACTAATTGTCAATCTTATCTGCGTCAATTGTCTTGAAGATGTTCTTAACTGTAAAAGTCATACCTTGTAATGTTTTAATAAAATATTTATTTTGTGCAATTACATAGTAATTTTGTACATGCAAAATGGTAATCATTTTTCCTAACTTCTATCACCATAAATTTTAATTTTGTTTATAAAACAGAGTAGAAAAAGGGAAAGAAAAAAAAATAAAAAGCAAACCATAGATTATATGATTTAGTGTGCCCTGCTACTTTGAAAAAAATGTTATGATAATCCAACCCCAATATCTGCTCTGATTTGGACAACTTGAATCTACTTCCTAAGGATGTTTGACCCCCTGTGACCCAGCCCTAACCCCGAGGCCATGATTTGAACCATTATGAGTCTAAATTAATACCCGATGATGCTTCCTTACTGATAGCTGTTTTATAGTAGCCATGACACGTGTATAGTCGCAGAATATCTTCTATCTCGCTGCCATGAAAAAAATTGATGTTATAAATTTATATCGGCAAAATTGGTTGCTATGTGTCATGGTTACCATGGCAACACTTCCTTAAATTTGATTTTTGAACAAGTTCACAATCTCATAACTAACGTTTACATCTTTGCAGAAATGACAGTGACTGTTTCCAAAGGTCGAAGATTTAGGTTTTATTTGCATAAAGAGAAATGTTTGGGGAAACAACTACATATATTGTATTTGTCACCATGGAAACAAAGTATTGAAAAACTTTCGTTTTGATTACACATACGTTCAATAATAAACGCAAATACAAGTTGCAATGTAACCAAATAATAGTGGAAGATCCTTGCAGCACATTTTGATATATATTTTAGGAAGAAATGTGATATTATTTATTGGTTGTCAAGGGCATAAAATAGCAATAATATGATTTAAATTTCTACATTGCAAGTCATTCGGAACTTATTCTAAAATTATATCGTTGCTATGGAAATTACATGTATATGAAAAACGCGTTTACAAAATGAAAAGTATTTAATTTACTTGGGTACGTACCCTTGTTTGTGAATCCCAAAACTTTTTAAATTGATATCTACATAAACAACTACTCTAACTTTCAATTCTGGCTGCTACACAATTTCTTACTGGATGCATGAAGCCAACACATAAGGTTAAACATTGCTCCGAAAGAAAATTGACCAATCTCATTGAACATTTTCCCCCCAAGTTTAGTTCTATCACTTAATACAATTTTATATGATGAAGATAAGTTATAATTTTTAAAAGAAGGTTGCTGAATTCATAAAGTAGCAAAAACAAATATTAATTTTAAAAACTCCTATGTCTCGATGGTTACTATATGTAGTAATGACTTCTGAATTTTCATTATGCTCTCAGTGTTACAAGGTCTTATTAAAGATATATTTTTGGCAGAATTGATTATATCTATGTCTTTCCTTTAGATGGCAGTATTAATTAAAACAAAGCCACAAATTGTGTGCAGCTATACTGTGTTGCCCTGCGTGGAAACCATGATATTGACAAATAACTTGCTAAACGTAAGGTCAAATATTTTTATTGTTTCTCTACGGTAAGAGATTGGGTTTGGTTATTTAACACCTAACATTCATAAATATTGCATATAAAATGTACATGTTTGTCAAATGTAGCCATGGTTACCACCTATTTGAGGTATATTCCAAAATCTTCTTTACATCATGAGTTGCAAAAAGGTATAATGTTTTGGTGCAAGTGGTAAATTTCGTTTTCGTAATCTTTGTTAAGGTTTGATAAAGATTCAAAGTAACTGAAAATCTATTTTGTTCTTTCACATTTTCCCGTTTTATCATGGCAATTAAGTCACCTATTTTATTTGTTTCTGCCGTCAAGTTCTAATAATAAGAAAAGTTTCAATGAAATCGGTGACCATCGTGCCAAAAAAGTTTTTGTCGTTGCAGAGAATTGCTCTTAATATGACTTAATATGTAAATCATAGATATACAGGTAGTATTCCTTCTTTTTTGTTTGTTTGTTTGATTGTTTAATGTCCCTTCGAGAATTTTTCACTCATATTGAGACTCCACCACTTGCCGGTGGAGGGCTACAAATTTAGACCTGTATTCAGCACTTAGTTAAGGCCTTTGAGCCGTGAAGATCTTTTTCGTGACAGCACCTACTGCGACACAGGACCTCGGTTTATACGGTCTCATCTGACGGACAAGTCTCCATGTCGCAC